GCGATTTGAACCCAGGAGTCTGGCTTGAGGATCCGTGGCATGTCTGCTAAGAGGAAGCTTATTTTCTTTACATTTGAAGCTCGAGTTTGAATAATAAACACAACAAAAATCTAAGTTTTTCTAATGTCTCTTATAAAAATATATATATACATATATATATATATATATATATATATATATATATATATGCAAATACTCCACAAAGATTTCTGCAAAAATAATTCTGTTTTTGTATTTTCACAAATGAAGAATTCTGGACAATGATAAAACAATCCCAATAAATATGTGCTGTCATATTTTTCAGCAGGATTGCAAGTTAAAATGAATCTGTCTCAGCCATGAGTTATTATCATTGCCACTTTTTATTGCTGCATTAATTACCACACATACTGTGAGGGATGCATGAAGTTAATTGTTTTTATAAACTAAACTAAAGGAAGTGGTAATGCAGAGTGACTGAGCTTTGTCATGTGTACTTCCTTCAGCAGAGGAGTAGACAGGCCACTCTGTGTGAGCTTTAGATGACGATAACTTAAAATGTCACCTTGACATGCATTGTGTTTTTGTAGTCACTTGCATTGCCCTTTTTACTTTTAGTTTATAAAAAAATAGCTATGAGTTAGAGTTTTAAAATTCTATGTCTGCCAAGTTGTAATGATCCAGAAATCTTTTTTTTAATATGTTTTCATTGATTTCTTTAGAGAGAGAGGAAGGGAGAGAGAGATAGAAACATCAATGTGAGAGAGAAACATTGATCAGCTGCACGCCCCCTACTGGGAATTGAGACTACAACCTGGGCATGTGCCCTGACTGGGAATCGAACCAGGACCTCTTAGTCCATAGGACGACGCTTAATTCAATGAGCCATGCCGGCTGCGCCAGAGATCATTTTTAAGTGAGTAACTCTATTAGTTTGCTAAGGCTGCTATAACAAAAGATCAGAGACTGGGATGACTAAACAACAGAAATGTATTTTCTCACAGTTCTGGAGGCTCGAAGTTCACGATCAAGGTGCTGGCGGGTCTGGTTCCTCCTGAGGCCTCGCTCCTTGGCTTGCAGACTGCTGCCTTCCCAGTGTCCTCATGGGGCCTTTCCTCTGTGCCTTCCCAGTGTCTTTTCTCCTTCTTATAAGAACACCAGCCCCATAGATTAGAGCCCCAACCAGTCACCTCTGTAAATGCCCTTATTTCCAAATACAGTCACATTCTGAGGTTATGGGATTAGGGCTTCAACATAGGAATTTGGAGAGACCACAATTAAACCCATAACAGCACTCTTAGTTAAACTTCTAGTGGACATGGGGTGGGGGGCAAAAATATATTTAAAAAAAAAAACAAAACATTTAGTGGGACACTTCTTCCAGCCTCCTCCTTTGGCAAAAAAACAAAAATACACACACAAAAACATTTATTTTAATAGAGTGGTAAATTATCTTAAACATGCTATAGAATTTTCTTCTTCAGTCTCCATTCCTTAAGGTTTACTGTACTACATAACTGGGAAATGTTGATAAGCCAACTGCAGATGGTATTTTTGTTTTCTTCCTTTTTTAAATATGAGCCCAAAGTGAGGGAAATCCCCCAAAGTGGGGGAACCACACCCAAAGAAGAAACTGAAATTTATAACAGTTAATATGAGCCATTAGGCAGAGAGTGACCTGATGTCTCTTCCTTCTCTTCTAAGGACACCAGTCCTACTAGACTAGAGCCCACCCAACAGCCTCACTTAACCCAAGACCCCAGCAGAAAGCTGGGTGCTCCGGGGCCAAACCCATGGAGAGAGGGTAGAGGGAAGAAATATGGCCAGTGGGAAGGTGAGAAAGCTACTCTGTTTTAGCCTGTGCCCAGATGAAGAAAATGTGTTTTTGAGAAGTTGCGAATGCAAGCCTGCCTTGCATGGGCTGTGAGTTCAGATTTACACTTCGGCAATTCCTGAGGACTCTGACATAGAAAGGGTTTCCAGGCTCCTGCGCTCCGGCCTGGCAGAGTACCTATAGCATCTCTGAAAGGACGCTGCCTGTGTGCCAGGCCCCAGAGGATCCCCACAGATGAAGCCCAACTGGAAACAAGTTCGTAATCTACAATCACCCCCCAACAAGAGAGAGTCAGCAGACAGACAGACAGTAGATTAGATTCCCAAAGACCTCGGGTAGTAAAATAATTGGATAGACACCTATAAGACAATATGTCTAAAATGATGAAATATATAAAAGAATGAAAAACATAAGAACTGAGTAGAACCACGCTGTGCCTGTTCCTGGCGGATATTGCTAGGTGCTGTTGCCCACGAAGCAGGTGTCAGCTTCCTGAAGGCGGGGAGCTGGCAAACTGCCAGGGAGATGGAACACTCATGACCTCGAAGTGTGGGAGCCTGAGGGGACATTTCACGTTATTTTTCCCGTTCTTCCGTATCATAAAGAAACTTGTTCTGGACTTCCTAGTTCAGCAGGGTCCAACCAAGTCTGAAATGCCAGAGAGCATGGCCTGACAAGTGGACTGTGCTGCGCCGGGAGCTGAACGGGACAACGCTGTCCTGAGGAGGGAGGCGAGGAGGGCTGAGCCTGGAGGTCGTGAGCGCAGTTGACAGGGCTCTCCTATATCCAGCCCGTGCCCAGACTACCAGCGCCTCTCTGAGCCTGTCCGGGCTGTTATAACAGACTGGCACAGACTGTGGCTTATAAACAGCAGTTCTTCAGGCTGCAAGTCCCAGATCAGGGTACCAGCAGATTCAGTGTCTAGTGAGGGTCCGATTCCTGGCTCTTAGATAGCAGTCTTTCCTGTGTCCTCGTGTGGTGGAAAAGGCGAGGGAGCTCTCTGGGGTCTCCTTATAAGAGCTCTGAGTCTGTTTATGAGTGTCCCACCCTCATGACCTAATCACCTCCCAAAGGCCCCACCTTTAAATATCATCACATTGGGGATTAGGATTTCAGCAGCCTCATTTAAACTCCTCGATTTTAGGATGTTGCTCTGATCCCTTTTTTGCAGATGAAACAGCAAGGCTTTGAGGGGTTGAGTCTGAGACCACATAGCTGAGGACATGGAGGCTGACCCCAAAGCATGTGCTGGTGACCACACGAGGCTGGTTTTTTGGATATAGGGCACCATTTTCAAACCATTCTGTGGAACACTGTAGTCCTACAGGATGATAACCTGAATCACTGGGACGGGGGTAAAAGTTCTGTGGGCACAAACATTTGGGGAAGATGGCACACTGTGCACCTCATAAAGCTTCATCGTGCACATTAAAGGGCGAGAGAATCTGTCTTGAAGAAACCCGTTTCATTTTGTTCAACCTAGCATTTCCCACACCTAACAGATCTGGAATCCACATTTTCTGTTTTTGTTTTTGTTTTCTTGCAAAATAATAGCCATTGAGGAAACAGAAATCAAACTATGACAAGATACCAGTTCAGACCCACTAGGATGGCTGTCATTTAAAAGACAGGTGACAACAAGTGTTGGTGAGCATGTGGGGAAACTGGAACCCTCAGAGTGGTTGGAATAGAAAATGATGCTGTGGCTTTGTAGTTCCTCAAAATGGTATATATAGAGTGACTGCGTGACCCGGCTATTCCACTACTAGATATATACTCAAGAAAATGAAGGTGTGTGTTCGTGTATCCACACGGAAACTTGTACTCAGCTTGTCCATGGCTTCATTATTTATTACAGCCAAAATGTAGAAACAAACCAAATGTCCATCAACAGCTGAGTGGATGAGTTAAATGTAATCTACCCATGCAACGGAATATTATTTAATCATGAAAAGGAATAAAGTCCTGAAACAGCTACAACATGGGTAAACCTTGAAAACATAGTAAGTGAAAAAAGCCAGCCACCAAAAGACCATGTATTTTACTATTTCATTTATGTCCAAAATCCAGGATAGGCAAATCCAGATGACTGGCTGCTGGTTGCTGGGGGAGAGGAAGGATTAGGGAATGACTGTGATTTGGGGCTTCTGTTTGGGGTGATGAAAATGTTCTCAAGTTGATTGTGTTGACGGTTGTACAATTCAAAATACACTAAAAGAAAACACTGAAATGGGTGAATTGTATTGTATGTGAATTCCATGTCAAGGCTGTTTTAAAAACTGAATGGACATCTGCCTGCACTCGGGTTTCACAGCACAGTGTGGGAAAGGCTGCAGCAGAAGTCTTGGCTGCCCCTGAGCAGCACCTGTGACTGGCTCAGCCACTGTCCCACGTCGCCTGCAGCTGTATCACCCAGCGGAAGCATCGCTGGAAACAAGTACTATATAGTTTCACTTACATGTGGAATCTAAAAACAAAACTAACAAAATATAACAGAATAAACTCAGATACAGAGAACAAACTGATGGTTGCCAAAGAGGAAGGGTGAGGGGAGGGGTGGAAAGGGGAAAGGATTACGAAGTACAAAATTCTGGTTATAAAATAAGTGGGATGTAAAGTGCAGCATGAAGTCAATAATATTGTAATAACTGTACAGTGACAGATGATTACTTATCACAGTGATCACTTCGTGTAAGGTATATAAATGTTGGATCACTACAGTGTACGCCTGAAACATATTATTGTATGTCAACTATAATTGAAAAATAAAAAATGCAAGACTATTCAGAATTTTTTTAAAAACATCGTCAGTATTTGAGGAACTGTCATAAGGCGGGGACTCAGTGGGACCTTGTTGCGTCCAGAAGACGTACAGAGCCTAAAGCAGGCAGCCACTTTGTCCAGTGGTTTGCACTCTGGTCCCACTGCTGCTCGCATGGAATGCTTATGCGACTGAAGAACAAGAGCCACGAGGAGCTTCTAAGTGGAGCTGGAATAAAAAGACAGCGCTGAGTGCCGGGTTCTATTGACTCTTCCCCCAACAACACCAACCTTCTGTCAGTCACCGTTGATGCCAGGTTATCTGGACTGACTTGTGGCCACGGGGCAACCAAAGACTTGAGCTGGTTCCCCTGGCCCTCTGGGGTTCCATTTCCACACTGATCACACTCCCTTCGTTTCCTTTCAGTGAAAGCTGGTGGCATGCGAATCGTGCAGAAGCACCCCCATACTGGAGACACCAAAGAAGAGAAAGACAAGGACGAGGAAGAGTGGGAGAGCCCCAGGTGGGAGAGTGCTGGTGGACCTCCAGCCCGTGGCACAAACAGCCATTGTTCAGTTAAACATTAATGTCTGTTCTCTGCTTCTGATAACTCCTGGGCTGTGTTGGGCCCCTCCTGTGTATTTTTCCTTTTCTAATCAGTGAGGTGGGGGCTCTGTTCTCAGGGGAGAAATGGGGCATCTAGAACACACCCTCTTTTCTGACTCTGTCTCCGCGAATGCTGTCAATCTGTGGCCTGTAGCCTGGAGACCTGTGAAAATGCCATACTGGTTGAATCTCTGGGGTGGGCCTGGCAACCTGTGCAGCCAGGGTAGCGAACTATTGATTTGAAAAATATACGCAAGCATCTGGGCTTTCCCAGTTCTTCAGCCACATCCAAGTGACCTTAAATGACATCTGTGTCCCCAGCCCCCCTGGGTCCCGGATTTCTCTATCTGTATGTTAACTGTTTTCCTCAGAGGTCTGATGTCAGTTTTGGTTCAAGGACCTCAGTACCAGTCCATTTCCTCCCACCTTGTAATACACAAACATGCACCACAAATGCATATACCACATAGAGCTGGTCCACATAGAAGAAAGTGAGCACTAAACTTTCTACCTTGCAACTTGTCCCAGAGGGTGTCTCCCCAGAGGAGGAAAGTAAGTGTAGAAAGGGTGTAGAGAGCAGCTAACCTGTGTTTCTGTGGATCAGGCACATTATTTAATTTTAGTCCAGTAGTCCTTAATAGGAGGAGGCATTCTCTTGATTTACACTTGGGAAACTCAAGTCCACAGAGACTATAAACATGCCCACATTGTGTGCCTTGTCATTAAGTGGGGTCCGGAATTTATACCCAAGTCTAACAGGGTCCAGAGCAGGCCAGGCTTCTTGCTGAACTGCTCCCACAAGCTTGTGTCCCTAAACAGGATGTGCATGTTCTTGGTGGCCCCATGTGGGCCCCACGTGTCCCCGTATGTATATGCTGCACCTCTGGGTGTTTTCTGCAGATGTCCAGGTGCTGTGAGTTACCCTGCAGTCACTGTGGGGCAAAGTTTCTGAGTGACTTGCCCATTTTAAGTCATGAGATCAGCAACATGAAGGCCCAGCCCAAGTTCTGGTTTTAAAAAAAGAAGTGGTTTAAAGAAGATGCTAACATCTTCCCCGCTGGCTATTTCCACAAAGCTGTGTGTGAAACAGCAGCACGAGGAACCCCTAGAGGTCCACAGTCCTGTATCTGAAAACCTCGGGGTCTGCTTTGTTTCAGAAGTGAGAAGTCCAGGGTTTTAGGGCAGGGGTCAGATCTCAGGAAAATAAACTAGGGCATGCTCTCTGCAGCGCTCTCTGTGGGTCCCGGGCAGCACGTGGTGATCTGGTGTGATCTCACACCCAGCGAGACGCTTTCCCTTCTGCACGCGTGGGTCAGTCCAGCTTCCATGTTGCCTCCATACACAGTATAAGGAAACTGAGCTTTCAGAAGATTCTCGTTCAAGGAGGAGAGCATGTGGGCCTGGGAAACCTGGATGTCCTTTCTCCATATCCAGTTGTTTACTTAAGAGGGAAGAGGGATGAGAGAGAAAGCCCTGCCTGGAAAAAAACTCTGGAAAGTTCATTTGAGAGTAAGTGGAATAAGGCTCAAATAGCTTTTTCTTGTGTGACAGTGTCAATACAGTGAGAGATGATAATTTATTAGCATGCTTAGAAATAAGGCCCTGGCCGGTTTGGCTCAGCGGTTAGAGTGTCAGCCTGCGGTCCAGAGAGACCAGGGTTCGGTTCCCGCTAAGGGCATGTACTTCGGTTGCAGTTTGTCCCCGACCCTGGTTGGGTCGTGCGGGTGGCAGCCAGTCAATGTGTCCCTTTCACGTTGATGTTTCTCTCTCTCTCTCTTCCTCTCTCTCCCTCCCGCTCTGTCTGAATAAAAAATGGAAAAATGTCCTCGGTGAGGATAAAAAAAAAAAGAAATAAGGACAGAACAGCCCGTTCATTTTCTTTCCGTTGATTTTTTTCACGAGTTGAAATGTGGTATTTATGAATGATGCACCTTGTAAATAAATATGCCAGAGAATGAACAATTGCATGAGAAAGGAGCGGGCACCCAGGACTCTAGAGCTTAGCATCTCACTCACATAAGGTTTATTCTTTCTGGAACCAAGTATCGTGAAGCAGTCTGACGGCAGAGTGGGGTTTGCATAACATGAGCAGGGGGTTTGTTCCCTGCAGCAGGGTGGCTGTAATGGGTCCCTGTGGGTGGGCTAGCTCTTGTCCTCCTGACTTCAGCTTCACTCTTGACCACTGAGGGTTAAACCACTGGACACACCATGGACAGATGGATGGGGTCAGACTCTGTGGAGTCAAGTTGTTGACCTATGCTGCCAACACAACTTTCCAGCCCCTGCGTACTGGTTAACTTCACCCCTGATGCTCCTCATTTTCTCCAGGCTGACTGAATAATTCTAGTTAATCAGCATCCCTAATATTTTACAGTGTAATGTGTCTGGCCCTGTTCCAACAGTTTAGAGAGGTTAAGTGACTTTCCGAAGCTCACACAGCAGAGCCAGCATCCTGGCATTGGTGGCTGGGTCCAGAGTCCCCACTCTTAGCTTCTAGGCTGTGCTTACCAGTTGAGTGCCAGTTCTGTGCTGGGCACTACCGAGTGTTTCACGTCGAGTTTAAAGCTCACCACCTGTGAATGGATATGACTGTGACCATGAGGAGGTAAAGAAACCAAGGCTTAGGGAGGCTTTCCAGCCCAATGATACATACTTGGTCAGAGGCCAGGCCAGGATTCTGGGGTTGCCCATAACCTTTTCCATATTCCTCCAGCCCATAATCTTACCTCTGCAGCCTCACCATCTACAGATGGTCTAATTATCAGTGCGAAAAAAAGTTTCTGGTGACTGGAAATACTTCACATATAGGAAGGCCTATTTTGTTTTGTTTTCAGAATTTGTCGAACATTAATTATTCTCTTGGAAATGTCATGGTATATGACTTCCACATCCACATTACCCTAATCCTAAAGCTTTGTATATTTTCATATTTGGATTCAAGGGTTCTCTGGATATGAAAATAAGTGCATGGTTCCAGGTGCCAATTTCCTCCTTTGCAAAAACACTTGGTTTTCCTTCCAAAGTTTTTAAAACTGGCTTTGTGTTTACTAACTCCTCTCTGGTGGCTTCCTTCCTCATTAAGCTGATAATCAAATACTGATTACAGGGAAGTGAACAAGTGAAACATTGAAGAGCATGTTATGTGACCAAGAGAACCAAAACCACAGCTCTTACTTGTAATTATTGTTATTGCAAATATTTATACTCCTTTCATCCCTTTAATCTTATAATTTTTCAGAGATTTAGAAATAATTTCCTTTGTTGTCAAATTGTTTTGAGGTGCTACATTTTAAAAAAGGAGGGGGTGTAGCAGTAGTTTGGAAATTTGCTCAGGAATTTCCATCCAGCTGAGTTCTAGTTACCTGTGGCTCCATAGGCTTCACTGTTATTAGCTGATCCCTTCCTGAGGGGCTGCTAGGTTCTGTCTTAGAACTGACCTAATTAAGGAAAGCCGTGATTTTCCTCAAAGCGTTTTGCTGATCAAGGTGCATTATGTAGAGGAGAAGTTGCAGGCATAGAATGGACTAAAGAAAGCAGTTTAGTGTCAAGCATGGACTGAGGTTCTGTCTGGTTACCACGCCCAAGCATGAGTCGGGCTTGGTACAAGACAATAAACAGGATAGGTGACAGGAAGAATAAACTAGAAATGGAAGGGTTTAGGTGTGGACTGGGGGTGGGCGGGAAGGGGCGGAAGGCAGGGGAATAAGGATGGTGAATAAGGACGAAGAGGGGGCAGCCCTTCTCTGAGCTCAGCTCTTTACAGCTGTGACTAGGCTCATGGTCCTGTTTCACATACCCAAAAATCAGCATACAATTCAAACCACCCATTATGTAGCGACCTATAGTGGAACGCAAACAGTAACAGATGAACCTAACTATAATGCAAAGGGCCACATAGTTATACCAATTGAAGGAGTGGGAAGAAAAGACCTAACCTAAGTAACTTTGGAAAATAGTATTTTGACTGAATACTATAAGGCTAAAAAGGATGGATGGATGGATGGATGGATGGATGGATGGATGGATGGAGTACACCAGTTAGTAAATGTGTTTCTTACAGGAGTATGTTTAGGTTAGCAGTTCTGAAAGTGCTTTGTGTATATACTAAGATTGAACAAATAAGGAAATATATTGTGTGTAGTGACAGCCAAGTTGCTCACTGTCAGAAAAAAAGGTTACAAATAGGAAAGAGAGAAGATTAAAATGAACTTTGTAGTGTTGAGTTGGAATTGGAAGTATTATATGAACTCATAGTTTTAAATGGATGGATGGATGGATGGGTAGATAGATAGATGATTGGATAGATGGATGGATGGATGGATAGATAGCAGATATATACAGACATATACATACATGCAGAAATAGATCTATAAGGGGAGGAATAGTGTACACACCTGTATTTCCTAGCTGTGTTCACTGAGAAGACCTAAACAAAACTAAACAGCCACATAGCCATGAGCATCCTGAGGGCCCAGATCTTGGTTCCTAAACACTATTCCCCAATCAAGGGAACCAGGGTTCCTTGGAGAACTGGTTAATTGCAAGGCCAGAGCAAGAAAAAGACAAGATGAGCCTGGAACAATTTGTAGTGCCAGGTCACAAGGAAAGGCACTAAACAGGATGGGGCTTGTCAGCACAACACGGGCACCACCTGAAGGCAGCCCATGTCAGCTGGGAGCATGCCAGATGGCATGGGGAGAGGCGGCCCAGGGAGGGTGGGTGCCTGTCTGCACTTAGTCTACAGTCCATCCTGAGGGCAGCACTGCACTCTCCATGGCTCCGCAAAGGCTCAGACAAACCCACTCCCATCCCTCCACTTTAGTGGGCAGAACTTCCTACCAGGCTGGCAGCCACCCCTCAGAAGCAGGGTGTCAGCTCCCTAGGGCTTTCATGACAGAGGACCCCAACTGGGTGTGT